TTTCTTTCTTTCTTTCTTTCTTTCTTTCTTTCTTTCTTTCTTTCTTTTTTCTTAATTCACTTCCAAAGCTGGAAGAGTAGATCTTTTCAAAATAACCTCATGGCCATAACCCAAACTCCACAGCCAAGTGTCTGCATATGGGATTAACATGGATTACTCATTGTCATAAATCATGAAATAATCTGAGTGAAAATGTATGTTATGCATACATGCATGTGAGTCATTAACAGATAGCTGGAGTGGAGACCCCCGCTACGGAGCACATCTGTCTGTGTATAGACCGTCCAACCATCTGTCATGTGCTGAATGGGTGGGTTCTAAGAAATGTGTCTGTCATCTGGCCATTTGTTGTATGACCATTCTGAGCCTACTTATACAAATCAAAATAGCACATACAAGTCACTCGTTGATGTTGTCTTTCCCCACCCCTTTTTGTTTTTTGATTTTTTTTTTTTTTTGGTCTGGCAGGATTTTGCTATATAATCCAGACAGGGAACTCACTGTTATCCTCTGGTTTCAACTTCTCAAGTAGGAGGATTACAGGCATACAGCTCTGGTACACACAGTCTATGGGAGTCTGCTGCATGCAGAACCCCTCACAGTTTTATAGTCAACTTTTTTAATAAGTAAAAGAAATATGCTCTCTAAAGTAGCAATGATGTATAAAGTAAGAACAGCTGTTTATTATCACTACCAAGTATTATAATGCACATAATTATGAGTACTGTTTTTACCCCCCCCCCGCGCGTTCATAGTACTGGGTTACATAGGACATTTTTATACATGTATATAACAGTTCCACTCACCCCCTTTTCCTTTGAGACAGGGTCTATTCTGTAGCACTAATTGGCCAAGAAGTCATAGCAATCCTCCTGCTTCAACCTCCTGAGTGCTGATACTACAGGCATGAGCTTCCAGGCCTTGCTTGCACCATGCATCTTTGTAACTGAAGGCATAATGAATGTGTTTTTACTGACATCCCCGTAGACCTGTATGTGGTGCATTGCCCTGAGAGGATGGTTGTGATGTCACTTGGTGGTGAACGATACAGTTCCATTAACTCTTGGACTGCCATCTTCTTTGTAGACCAAAACATTGTTGTGCAGCATACAAATGGAGTTATTTTGGGAATCAACCTAAAGCATCAAGAGGAAAAGATGAAATCATCATATCCTCTCACCCTGCCTACCCTTCTAACATGAGTCAATCTGTTATAAGTTATATCATAGGCGGAGTTTTTCATCAGGACCACTGGTCAGCTCTGTCCTGCCAGCTGCTCCCAAATAACCACACAGAGACTTACTATTATAAATGCTCACCAATGGCTTAGGCTTGTTACTAACTAGCTCTTACAACTTGAATTAACCCATGTGGTGGTACCTTTTTTCAGCATGGCATGTTCACCTTGCTTCTCTCTGCATCTCCTGGTAACTCCACCTTCTACTCTGTGTCCTCTTTTTGTCTGCAAGCCCCCCATAACCTCTGCCTGTCCTATAGGCCAGTCAGCTCTCTAATAAACAATGAGAGTAGTACGTATTTACAGTGTACAAAGATTGTTCCACACCATAACATACTACTGACATGTTAAAGATATGCTTGGGAACACAACACAGCTAGTAATCAACACAGTCAGTAGTCAAGGTTCTCTGGAGAAATAGAACCAATGGGAGTTATACAGGTAGGCAGGTAGGCAAACAGAGACTTATTATAGGGATTTATTTACGATTATGGAATCTGGGGTGTCACATTGTTACCTAGGAAGTCTGCAAGTCCGAAGGCCTGAGGACCAGTCAGAGCCCAGAGGCCTGAAGACCAGAAACACCGAGCTCTAGGGGCAAGAGTAGACACTATCTCAGCTCAGAAAGAGCAAATGTTCTCTTCTTCCACTTTGTATTAGATTCGGGTCCTTGGTGGGACTGTGCCCACACACATTGGTGAGGGAGGGACATGGTGCTCCTGTCCCTTGCAGGTATCGGGCATCCTGGTCAGGCTAACACACAAAACCGACCAGTATGCCAGGCTAAGCTAACGTCCTCAACCATGCTCACAATAACCAGCCTGCAGAATGGAGAAAGACATGCTCCCCACAGTGCAGTGCTTCAGCTCAACTCTGAGATATTTGTCTGATGAGTGAGGCAAGGAGGCTCCCAGGGCTCCCTGCATGTGGCTAGGCCCTTGGTCATCATGGCATCTTTATTAGTGTGAACTCACCTGGAGGGGTTTATTCCAGATTCTGCATTTGGTGTGTGGCCTTTATCTCTGCTGGCTAGACTCTTTCCCTAGGGGGTTTTCAACAACCTTCAACCCTGGATGAATCTAACTGAAGCAAATAACAAGAGTGTGGTTAGATCCAATTGGCAGAAGGGAGCATCTCACCCATCCACCCACTTCTGCCCAGGACCTCCTGGCCCCTTTGGCACGTGCTCCACACCCGTTCCCCAAGCTGCCAGCATTCCGGATGCCACAGCATACCTTTAGTGGGTTTGTGAAACCCAGGAACCTGGGAAGAGTGACCTGCAGGGGTGCCAAGTGAGGAATCAGGATTCCAGACACTTCCAGGGCCACCTCGGGGCCCCACAGGCTTGGCTCTGTCCAGATCCCAGAACCTTCACCTTATAACTGCACTGAAAGCAATAGAGGGACACCGCGGCCGCTTTCTGCTGCACCTGCCATCTTACTCCTTCCTCCTCCTTTTTAATCTCAGTTCTATTTTCTGCCTATCCTGTCCCTAGATGTTCAGGCTCTGACACTCAGTCCAGACACTGTTGACTGAAGTAACTGTCACCTTTCTCAGGTGACCGTGATCAGTCGGTTCACAAGTCTGTTGGCGTGAGCGTGACTGGTGGAGTCTTGGGCTCCTTCATCTCCAGGCATATCCAAATCCTCAGGATCCCCACACCTCCTGGAAGGGCAAGGCCTGTGCACAGGATGGGGTGTGGATGGGGTGATCTACAGGGCCCCCAGAGTAACCTGAGTCCATGTGCTTCAGTCCATCCCTAAACACACTGAAGTTACTTGTATAATTTTCTATACGTAAACATACTATTTTTTTTCCCAGTGCTGGAGACTAAACCCTTATGTAGAGTCTTATAGTTCATATCTGTTAGACAGACCTTTACCACTGAGCCACCGCCACATCCCAGCCCTAGAAGTACATAGCTTTTCCTCTCCCTCTCTCTCTCTCTCTCTCTCTCTGTGTGTGTGTGTGTGTGTGTGTGTGTGTGTGTGTGTGTGTGTGTGTATGTAGAATTGAATGTAAAGCTTCAAGCAAGCTGGGAAGACACCCTGCTGCTGAGTAGGCCCCTCAGACCCAATCACACATTTTTCTTGGTAAGCTTTCCCCTCCTGCGCTGCAAAGGGTAAAGTCACCGTCTACACTGTCAGAGCCTGGGGGTTTGTGTTTATTGCCCCTGGGGTAGTTTCCTCAGCAGATCAGACTTGGAGACTACCAGGGTAGGGGGCAACCCTAGAGGGAAGAGTTCCCAAAGGAAGATCAGTTAAAACCAGTCACCTCTTGTCCCTCTAGCTCAGGGGCCATCAGTAGCTGCTGCTCGCGTAGTTTTGTAGACTCAGCACCTTTCCCCTCACACGCCTTCGTCATCCCTTAGAAGAAGGCTTGACTCATATCAGAGTGGACGCTAATCAATATTTGATGAATGCGTGAGTCAGATGGAACAGCTGGCATGAGACGGCCTCGTAAACATCTTCAGCAGCAGGCCCTGGTTGCCAAGTGCATGTACCCTGAGCTCTGCAAATAGCCTGCTCTAGGTGAGCATTTTCTGGCCTCCTGAAACAGTCCTGTCTCAATAATGGGACGCAAACATCCCCTGTCCAAAGGAGTGTCTCTGGGCCAGTCAAATGAAGGAAAGCTATTCCGTCAACACTGACAAGATAGGCAGTTTCCTAAGTGCCAGAAGTGACCTCATCCTCCAAGGGCTTAGCCTCTTCACCCAGCACCTGCTGATCCCTGCGTTCCAGCCGCCCTGCTCTCACTCCAGCATGGGAGGCTCCTCAGACAATGGCTGCCCAGGACAGGGTATCAGAGCCTCCTCGGGGCCTCTGCTTAGCAGGGTGAGGGAGGCGGTTATCTCTCTGCATCTCAGGACAACAGAGAGGAGCGAGGGCCCTTTGGTGGGCACTGGGGTTCTCCCATGGACTGCTTCTTAGCTGTGCCCATGCCAAGCGATTAGAGCTGCTGGTCTGTGCTCTCCTGAGTTCATCAGGCAGGCAGGGTGAGTCATGCATATGATACTGCAAGGATCGTGGGCTGGTCTAGGGTGGGCAGCCTTTTGAAAAGCATTGGTTGAAGACGACAGGCATTCTCAACACACATTAGGGACGGTAGAGGTGATCTTTACCTATACCTGCTTTCCACAGCAGGTGCCACTAAAGGAAGCATCATGGGCACTAACAGGGTGATGGGGAAGCTAACACTAATAATTAAGAGACATGTCCCACACCTGTCATTCACAGACTCTAGGTGTGTCACTTAAACATTGTGTGCTTCGCCCCCACCCCCTCCCCGTGAAGGCCGTACCCATACTACCATTTAGGGTCATTGTGATGGCTGAAATGTGCAGTGCCACCTCCAGTGGCGTTATGGTCGTCTCCAAGATAGTTACTGTCATTATTATTACTTGCAGCGCTGGGACTCAAACCCAGGGCCTCCCACATGCTGTGCAAAGACTCTCACTGAGCCATACCCCATAGTATTACCATGTCCACAAACACCTATTATGTGCAGAGCACTAATGTGTCACATGCGTTCCTTTATCTAGCTCAGTCCCCACAGTGGCTCTTGTGGGTGCGGGATCTGAGGCGCCTGCCTGAAACTAGGCAGCTTGTAGAGGTCAGAGACGGTGTGTTCTAGCCGAGGTCGGTTTCCAGCCCCAACTCCTAACACCCACACATGATTCTTTTCCCCTGCTACTTTGTCCCTTCATATATTATGTACTAGCTGGCTGTGGTAACACATATCTATAATCCTAAGCTGTAGGAGGCTGAGTCAGGATTGTTGCCATCACAAGATCAGCCTGGGTTACATAGTAAGAGCCTACCCCAAAAACAAGACTGAAAACGTACAGTCTTGGCTTTTACCGTCTGTGGACTGGGCCCTCTTTCCCAAACCCTTCTTGTTGTCTGTTCCATTTCTTCACCAAACTCCTCTTGCTACAACTTTGTTCTGATTCTTTTTCTGTCTCCCTGACTTGGCTTCAGTCCTCATGTTCCTGCTTCCAATTCCCTGCCCTGACCTCTAAACACTGTATACCAACACCCTTCTAGTGACAGGTACCTTGCTCTTGTGACATGAGAGTGGCCACTCCATTCCCAGGCTTCCAGACTCTCTAAGATGAAGCTAAGTAAACAGAGAAAAGGTGGCACCTTCTCTTCTGCTGTCACTGAGCACAGGTGCCCCAGGCTGGCTCTTTGGAGCAGTGGAGATGTGGCTCTGGATCCTTGTTCTGAGCTTAGGGGAGCTCGGCCTCCACAGAAGCAGAGACTTCTCGCCTGTCAGTCCCAACGCTGCTTCCCAACATGACTAAGGAGGAAGAGATCTGCACGCTTAGCTTCTGTCCTTAGCGGATGTCCTTGGGGACACACTCCTGGGAGCTGTTGCCAACATTGGAGTGTCAACTGTGGCCCTGGCTTCTGCTAGTGCATGGCTATAGTTCAGTTTAGGCCCTTTAAGGATCAGGGGCACTCTACCCCACCCCTGAGTTCCAGTGCCTGGCTCCCCAAACCCCCATCCGAATCCTGCCCAATGGAAGGCCGCTCCCCACGCTGAGGTCCCACCTGATAAGCTGATGGCAAGGACCACACTCTCAAGGCAGGCCCCTTCCTGGGGAGATGCTGCCCGCTCTCCCTGTGCCGGAGTCTACCTCACAATTAGGTGGGACATAAATCAAAGCCAAAGTTGCCTGATGAAATTCGGGAGCCGGCGGTGACCCTTGCCACACATATAAATCCCAGCCGGCCAGCCCGAGGCCTTTGTCTGGTCAGAGAGTTCAGGATTATCGGGCCCACTTTGCTGATGTATGAAGGCACCGGCTGTCGGAGTGTTTACTAAAGGTTATCACCTCCGTGCTGGGGCCGTTATCACAGGCAGGGCCGCCCGCCGGGGCTGGGGCTCGCACCCTCTCTATTACCACCTGTCAGTGGCAGCGAGTGTGCACTGACGCTGCCCAGTCCTGCCCACCGAGGAAAGATAGTTTCTGACGGCTGATCAAAGAGGAGAAACAAGACCTGATAAAGAGTGTGTGTTTCATGTACTTTTAACTTTGGGGAAACGTCAGCATTTGCATTTTTTTTCCTGGTCCTCCTGGAGCTGGCAGGAACCAAGCCCCAATAAATGTAGTGGATTCAGTTACCTAATCGAGGGGGAAATGGTATGTGCTTAAAGCAACAGACCGTGACCATAATCTCTTTCCGAGAGAGGCTGGATGAAATAAGCTTTCTCAGTGAACTTGCCGTAGAGTAAAATCGAGTCGCCTGAATTCAGACTTTGAAGTGGGCTTGCACATAACATCTAATCTTGGCGTTCAGCGGAACGCAGTGTACCTTTTGGAACTCGGAGCAGGTTTGGATTAAGAAAGGATCCTTGCTGAAGATGCTATCGCCCAGCTGTATCGCTCACATCCCGAAACGGTACCCCACACTTGCCCACGTCCCTGACGGCTGGGAGCCGATCTGCAGTGAGGTAGAACGAGTTCCAGACCGAGGCATCAGCACATCTGAGTCCTGGCACCAAGTCTGTCCCAGCCTGCTTTTAGTCTAAGCTCTTGACCTCGCTAAGCCGCAACTGTAAATGAGGCTGGGAATAAGTTCTAGGATACAGTGGCTTAGGAAGCTTTTTTGTTTTTAAGCTTAGACGGCGTAACCCCCTCTTACTAATCTTTGTGGTGGTGGTGTGTGTGGGCACACTTACATATGTGCCATGGTATGTAAAAGAAAGTCAGACCACAATCATGCGTGTCAGTCTTCACCTTCCGCCTTTCTTGAGATAGGGTCTCTTTATTGTTCATCACTGTGTGGACCAGGCTAGCCCACCCATGAGCTTCTAGGGATTCTCCTGTCTCTGTCTCTCATCTCCTATGTCACCATCATCCTATGGCGATAGGAAACTGGGATTATAGGTGTTTCTGCTGCTGCCCCCAGCTGTCCCTGGGTTCTGGAGATCCAAACTTCGGTCATCATGCACACGGTCAAGGACTTTGGTCATTGATCCATCTCCCCGGGCCGCCTTTTATTTTAGACAGTGCTTCATGTAGCCCAGGCTAGCCTCAAAGTCACTGCTGTAACTGAGGATGACCTTGGACTTGTGATTCTCCTGCCTCTACCTCCCAAGTGTTAGGCTCACAGGCGTGTGCCACCGGGTTTCTTAATTTGGTGCTGGGGATTGTACCCAGTCTCATGTGTACCAGGAAAGTGTCCATCAGCTGAGCTACATCCCTCACCTGTAGCTATTCCTGAGGTCCTAGGTGGAGAGTGATTATGTCAGGGAGCAGTAGGGTTGTTTGGGATGAACCTGGGAAGGGGTTCCTTCCCTCTGTGCTAGCTCTCAGAAGTCTCTGGAGACCCCTAAGAGACCGTTTTAACTCGGCCATGCAGCCGTCATTCCTGGAAGTGTGCTCTCTGACCCAGCGGCATGAGCTATGTTCTCGGCCTCACGCACTCCTGTTGCTGAGCGACCCCATCCTTCATTCTGGTTGAAAGACTAAGCTGGCTCTGGGCGTGACAGGCCGTGGTTGGCAGGTAGACAGAGAATAGTGCCCTCTGAAGGCCTGGTCTCAACGTCTTATGTATAGCACAACTAATAAAAACCCAGAGACAGATATTGGGGTTCAACTTGAAGATCAGAAAAGCAAAGCAGCCGGCCATTGGCTCTTACCTCTACCTCATACTGAAATGGTGATCCTGCCTCCAGGAATTCTCAGGAGGAGACTGAGCTGAGACCTGTCTCCTCCCCTTTTATATTTCTCTCTAGTGCTGGGATCAAAGGTGTGCACCACCACTGCCCAGCCTCTATGACCTACTAGAGTGACTGCTGGCCTTAAAGGTGTGTGCCACCACTGCCTGGCCTGTATGGCTGACTAGTGTGGCTGCTTTGCACTGACCTTCAGGCAAGCTTTATTTATTAAAACACAAGTAATATACATGTACTTACATCCCGCGTGTGTCCCAGGTACCTTCGACCGGAGCGTGACCCTGCTGGAGGTGTGTGGGAGCTGGCCTGAGGGCTTTGGGCTGCGACACATGTCCTCCATGGAGCACACAGAGGAGGGCCTCCGGGAGCGGCTCGCAGATGCCATGGCCGAGTCACCAAGCCGAGATGCTGTAGGATCTGGAACAGGTAAAGCTGTCAGCGGACTTCTAGCCTGACTTGGTTGTGACGGGCACTTCTGGGGTTGAGCTGGAGGGGAGAGGGCATGTTTTTAACCATTTGTTTCTGTAGTTTAGCACTCTGGTGCTACTCATTCCAGAAGGCTCTGATACTGGAAAATCCTGTGGGAACGAGGGTTCCCAGCAGAGCCGCCTCTCCCCCTGGAGCAACACCCAAAAATACCCTGAAAAATACAGCTGTAGGCCTGGGGCTGTAGCTCAGCATCGGGGTCCTTGCCTGGCCTGCATGATCCCTAACTTTACAAGAGAGACAGAAAGACAGAGAAAGATAAACAGACAGACAGTTATACCCAACAAAACACCTCAGGAGAAGGAAGACATAAGTAGTAGCATACCTTTCCCTTCGGGTTCCAGGCTCTGGGGCCTGGGACCTGCCAGCAAGCAGGCAGAGCTAGCTCAGGCATACACCACACAGCTTTTCTTTCACGTGCCTTTCACCCCAGACTAGTACCCTAGTACCTCTGAGAGTCCGGTAAGTCCAAAGTGACTTCCTACATCCATATACTAATCTTAAGACATCCTTTAGCTAGAAGTGAACCCTACCCCCATATAAGTGCATGTGTGCATGCACACACACACACACACACACACACACACACACACACACACACCACACACAGTCATCCCATCTCCATTCTGCTATTACACAGGCTTCCTGTGCCTCTCCTATTTCTAAAACACTTCTCTCTCTCTCTCTCTCTCTCTCTCTCTCTCTCTCTCTCTCTCTCTGCTGTTACTAATGTTGCAGCCCTGTGTTAACACCCACCTAACAGGCCCTGTCCCTAGTTTGCTGAGGTCAATGAGATCAACAGATCCTGATCCCCAAGCTTCAGGCCTGCCTTTTCTTTCTCTCCTGAGTCCTCAAGGAGTGTCACCTTCCATGTGGCCTGTCCCATCCCTGCCTCACTCTACTGTAGAAAAGGAACCCATTAAGGAGAAGCTTAGAATCCCCTTGGGTGGCTGGGTCTGACATTGGCAATCCATCCCGCTGTTCTGTGGGTTTGGGGGCCTTCAGGTATTAGATTCATCAGTGAGGTTCCCCACCCCTGCGTCTCTGAGCTAGTTCTTCTGCTCCTTCACTAAGAGCTCCTTCACAGCTTAGTGCCTCCTGCCTAGACAGTCATTGGCACCTGCAGAGTGCAGTGGATGGCTGGGAGGAGTTAAATTAGGGATAGGGAGACCCTGTCAGGCCCTAGATGGCAGCTGTCTCAGAGGCCTGGCCTAGTCTGACCCCCTTTTCCCCTACAAGGAAAGGAGATGTGACCTTCAAAGCTGTAGCAGACTGTACCCCTCCATCAGGCATACACATGTATAGACCGTTTGCATCCTCACATCCCAGAAGTATAGAGAATTCATCCCAAAGCCTCTGCTCTTCCTCTACCTCCAGATAGCGGCTCTTCCCCTTGCCAGATGCCAGTACAGTTTCCATGGGAGCTAACTGAACCATGGCTGTAGCACAGCTTTGCCCTGTATGTCAGGACCCTGGCAGCTGTGGCTCCTATGAACCAGAGTGTGTGTCCCTGAGCTCATCTCCGGGAGCCTCCCTTTTCTGAGGGCTGAGAGTCCCTGGAATGGCCTCATCGGGCCCACCTCAGCCTCGCCTGGTGGGCAGTTGGGCAGGGATATTTAGCCACTGGACCTCAGCTTCTCCGGGAGTAACCTGAGCATAGCTGGCAGTGATTCATCTGCCAAACAGCTGAGGGACTCGGGAGAGTTTGTGATCTTAATAAGCAGGCTTGTGAAATTAAAAAGAATTTAAAGAAAAAGAAAGAGGAAATTAAAATGGCATACCCACAGGTCAAACGCATAGATCCACCCATACCCTTTTTTTTCTCCAGCAGTAGGATTCCACTCTCTTCCTCAAATGGTCACCAAAAGAGATTCCATTGTTTTTCTTTCGACTATATTAGATGAATGGTTGTTCTTTTGTTTTGTTTTAATTTGCCTCCAATTTTTTAGGTCAGAAAGCAGATCAAATAAAAATGAACCAGTCCCCTTCCTTCTCTGTGGCTGAGATACTCTATCCTTTATTTTTCTAGTGAATATGTCCACCTGCCACTACAACAAAGACAGGCCTGGCTAGGGGAAGCCAGGAAGGGGCAGTGCCTATAGATGAGGATTTCCAGCAAGTCACTCTGCCCTAACACCTCCCTCTTCTCTTTCCAACTCTCTTGGTGACTCAGGGACACACAGATAGGGTAGTGCTCTACTCTGCGGTTGCCTCTGTTGGGCACTCTGGTGCTAGATAAGTCAGGGCCTCAGGGCCTCCCCGCAGGCACCTTCATGTTGACATCTCCTTATCAGCTTGCTGCTGTGGCCATCACAGGACTTGCTCTCCAGACCCCTGACACAGAGGCCCTTGGATCGTGTTAACACTGTTAATGGTGGGTTGGCTAGCGCTGGGTGTATAAATTGTTTAACAACCAGCTCTCCAGCAGAAAGCCAAAAACAGCCCTCCCCCACACAAACAGTCCCCTGCCTTGTGGCTGTGGTGGTGTAAAAACTGCTATTATCACTGTTTATTGCAAACCATCAGCCTGTCAGATAGGTCTTTGGGTGCCTAAAAGCTTACCAGACTGGCTCCAGTGCCTCAGAGGAGGCATAGGACCGCAGGGCAAATGAGCTGTCACACAAGTAAGGAAAAAGCTGACCGCCCAAAACGGGGAGGTGGAGAGCGTTGGATAGGCTGCCTAGTTAGCGCTGTCACACCATAGACTGGCTCTGGTAAATAGTAACGTGCTGTAGTCTTGAAAACGGCTAGCCAGATAGATATTAAATGTCCTCACCACCAAAAAACAAGGTAAGTATGTGGGGTAATATGTGTTAATTAGCTCTGTTTAGCCATTCTTGTGTTAATTAGCCATTCTGCAATGAATATATGTTGCCAGACATCATGCTATATGTAATGGGAATATACATTTTGTAAGTAAAAAAGAAAAAAGTTTTGTTTTTTTTTTTTTTTTGGTTTTTTGAAACAGGGTTTCTCTATGTAGTCTTGACTGTCCTAGAACTCACTCTGTAGACCAGGCTGGCCTCATACTCACAGAGATCCACCTGCCTCTGCCTCCTGAGTGTTGGGATTAAAGGTGTGCACCCACCACCACCCAGCCAAGAACATTTTTAAAGGTACTCTAGTGACCTGCAGCACTGTTCTCGCCGAGGCGCTGATGAGCTCTGATGAGCTATGCAAAGCTGGTGGAGGAGGTAGCCTGTGTGAGTCTCCGGGTTGGGTCCTCAGAGCCAAGCAAAGGAGAAAGAAATGCAGAGTCCATCCCTGCTCTGTCAGCATCAGAACTTGACTTTCTTCTTCCAGTGCCGGGGATTGAACCCAGAGCCTCACATGTTAAGCAAGCTCTCTACCACTAAACTCCACCTCTTGCCCAGCACCCCAGTTTTCACATGCATATATTAACGTTTGAGAAGATCCGTTTAGAATGTGGTGAGCCTGCAGTGCAGATGTCAGTTCAGCCCTCTGTGGTGGTGCTGACCCGTCTGTCTGATTAGCTGACACGGGGTTTGCAGGTCCAGCCTAGATGTGACTGGCCAAACCGCCTTCTTTCTGATTGCCAAGAACCCCCTCCGCCCGTTACCTCTCCATCATCCCTTGCCTCGGGCTCCAGCCTGAGGTTCATCCAGCCCTGCTCTGGTGTTTTTGAAGTGAGCAACTTGCTGTTCCTTGAGCCTCCGCGGATATGGGGTCCCCTGCCGCTGGGCTGTGCTGTGCAGTGCCTAGTGCCCCCTCTTTCGGTCTCACTTGGCACCTACCTGTCTCTGCAGCAAATGCCAGCGCCTGGGACAGAGCCCAGCTTGTGGCAGATAGGCAGCACCTGTCTGCTGACTGAGGCCTGCACCCACCTGGGCACCGTTTACCGTGGTCTGTGTCTCCCTAGGTGCCTACCTACTGTTTACTGAGGTCTGCCTGAAGCTCTCCATAGCCCCTGTGTGTCGATGGGGTTTCTGGCCTTTCCCTTCTTTCAGAGACGCCCAGTTCTCTGATCCTGTCGCTGCTGTCTATTAGTCCAGGTGTTCAGTCCCCATCTTGCCGTCAGCCACTTCCCTCCTGCAGCCGTTCTGTTTCACCCCCCACCCCATTCCCCTGAAACCTCCCACCATACCCGAGTCTCAGCCAAAGAATGGTTGTCATTTGAAATCCTGTCAGCTCCCTACCACCCAGATCCTAAGCATCCTCTAGCCAAAGAGGAGCGTCTCATGTCCCCATCCCCCACTCTCCTCTGAAGTCATCACTAGACACCAGGAACCTCCACCTGGGCCTGTGAACCCTCTCCAGCTCCTGGTTCTGCTGTCTCTGACTGTCCCTTGGTCCCTTTTCTGGCTTTTTCTTCTCAAGGCTGTTCCCTTCTCCCTCAGCACAAGGCAATCTCTACTTCTGTAGCCTCAGTCAGTATGGGTAAACTGATAACCTCCAAACCAACCTCACTCTTGATTTCCAGAACCATCTGCCCAGTCACCTACTGATAAATCCACACCTCTAAGAACCCAACCTTGTCCTTAGCAGTTCCTTCTCTAGGCACATCCCACTTGGGGTATGCAAAGCCACCCTGGCTAGGTCACCCTCTCCAGACCCGTCCCCACTGATCTCCAGCTCATCAGGCTGGCCCCTGGGACCCTAAACACGTGTCAGGCTCTCTGTGGATCCTTTTCCTGCCGCCTGGAATGTTCCTCCCTGAGCTTCCTCCCCTCTCACCATCTCCCCCAGAAGAACCCAACTGATTCCTGTCTAGCAGACATTCCTTTCTGTATTGTCTTTTCTTAAAAAAAAAAAAAAAAAAAGCTTTTTAAAAAAACCCGACTTATCCCAATTGTTTTGTGTCTAGGTAAACATATAATTTAATACTCCCCCTAAAGAGAGGATTTAAATAAAAACTCGGGTACACATGGAGTCCGTTTTAAACTTTCTAACTCTTCCAGTCACTGATTCAGACTTCTCAT